ACAAAATTCTTTCAACTGCTGCTAACAGAAAAAGAGATCTATTACTTTCATGGTGGATTATTTTTCTATATTCTAGATCTACAAAATCACAAAATTTCTTAAATTCAGTTACTCGAACTTTGTAGACATAAAAGTACTTAAATATTTTCACAACAAGAGTTTTAAGTTAAACTCCAGCTACATATACACTAATGAAGTCAACGGTTAGCGTTATTCAAGATGATTCCAAAATAAGACTTTGAATTCCTGATAAAACAACCTAGAAAGTAATCGTTAGTATTTGTATTAGTATCAAAACAATATGATTTTTGTTGTCTGATTTTTTTTCAAAAATCCAAATCATGAATTTTGTTTGGAGCGAAATGAAACAAATAATTCATTTTTTCCGAAAAACGATAGACTAAGTGGGTTATGTATGCTTAGTGTACACAAAAAAAGAATAATTGCCCAAATTTTATCGACAAAGTTGTAGACAAGTTTGGACAAAAAAAATAAAGGCTTAAGTTGCTTTTTTTAGAAACAAAGTGAATGTATAGTTGTAAGTTGTAAAATGCAAATGTCTAATTGTAATTTAAAAATTTAAAATAAAAACTATTTTTTCGCGTTTTTTCTTATTATTGAAAGATTTTTTTATTATTTTTTTTTCCCCGTTTCCTTTTTTTTTTTCAAAAGCTAGGGGGTGCACGTGCATTGAAACTTGTCCCCTGCTGGCGCCCATGTCTACTTATTGCTTGAAATCAGGGCCGTGCAGAGGGTGAGTCACCCGAGCAAATTGCTCGGGGCCCCAGACCGTATGGGGGCCCCCAACAGCGGCTATAACATTCCGGAGTTTTTTTCCTTCTTTTTTTTCCCCATCAAAATCTTTAACTTAAATAACAATAAAATAGCTCTTTAAGTTTAATGAAACTTGCCGCAAAAAATCTTCTATAATGTGAAGCACGGTTAGCACGGATCCTTATAATGCCTACCTAGCCGCCCCAAGAACGCCACTTATATGGAAAGTCAGCGCGCACATCAAGGTACCCTGTGATGCAAATTTTAAAATCATTTAATTTTATCCGCGGAAAATAATTTAATTTGAATTTTAACTTTATAGTGCGCCAATAAAAATATTTGTAAAACTTGAACCACTCAATATAATTTAATAAAAATTAGCGCAAATGTAGCGAATAGTCACACCAAATTCTGGACAAAATTTCAGCCTGATTAGATGACTGGTGTAGGATTTATTGCAGTTTCAGTTGAAGTTTTGTCAGTTTTTTGCTACTTATACCTCAAAGCGTTACCAATTAATTTAAATTCGGTCACTATTTTTAAAATAACAGTTACATGAGTGTTCTTCTATGTAATACCAACAATTTTTGTTATAATTATTTTATCGGTACGTGTAAAGTTTTGATTTTATATACCAAAATAGAGATTTTCTACTTAAAGCATGATTTAAATAGTCTTATGCTAATAATGTCGACACGGCCTTCAAAGTAGAGGGGTCAAAACTATTTAAACCCTATTTTAACATTGTATTATCATCAAATATCTAATTACATTTAAAAAATTTTTTTTTGATTTTATCTACCAAAAGATTATTAATAAATAGCTCAATATACTCTTTTAATACAAATACTCTATAATACTTCTTTTAAAGATGGTGAAAATATTCATTATACGCCGTAAAGTATGAATTTTAGCAACCTAATTTCTAATAACTCAAATGACGCTCTTTAAAAATGCTTACTGTTTAGATCAATTATGCAGCGCAACAATCTTTCTTTGTACTCTGGATGATTATTATTTCGCTTATACCTCAACCAATGTTGATAAAAATCTTGATGAGAAGTTTCAAGAGTTTGTTCACTATAGGGCCCCAATGGGGATCCTTTGTGACTGATGAAATCCTTTATGTGGTAAAAGACGGCGTGAATTTGGGGTGTTACGCAAGCACCAGTTATCATTAGGTAATCCGGCTGAAGGATGTATCCAAAGCTAGCCTTGACAACTAAATTGAAACTTTTGAATGCTTTAATTATGCACACAATATTGGAAACCATGTTTGTCTTAGCAAGTTGCTGCAGTATATCCGCATTTTTAAGAAGCTTTTTGCATTCATTTCCCTCCAACTGGCCCACGTGATACGGGCTCAGTTGAATGTTAAGGGCAGCTGGCCACTTAACAGTTTCTATCCAAGCAGTTTTAAGGATCTTTAAAAGATGGTTGACAACTCCTAAGAGGAGATGCAATTCCATTGGTGGAATGATTTCCAAAATCAGAACATTGACAGGCCCGCAGATGATTGGCTTTCGAATGACATTGCCAAACAGCTTTGCATTAGCAATAACCCCGCCAGAGTGCTGAAAAGACTCAAGACTTGAATTAATTGAGCCTAGTGTTCGCAAGTTTCCAGATTGGGCAAGACAAATGGATTTGACGTCACACCAGGTGCAAGGGTGCGTACTTGAATGAGTTTGAAGACCACAACTGTTATTTATAACTTTCATATCACAAGCCAAAATTAGTTTAACTCCATTTGCATTAATCAGTGACCAGATTTGTTCAATATTGGAGTGTGTTTCTGGCAAATCTTCTGAAACCCTAACAATAATTTGTCTCTTGACTCCAGTGTCTTTACCAGTCTTTTGAGTGAGAGGTTGTTGTTGGTGCGGTGAGCTGGTTTCATCCCTTAACGCAGTATCAACAATGCTAAGACAAATCATGAGAAAACTTTTGCCACCATCCAACAAAATAGCCGCCAGAAATTTTGCGGGAGTGAACAACATGATTCACAAGACTTGATAAATCATTGCAGCAAGCAACAACATGAACTGTACAAGAATCTGTTTTTACGACTGTGATTTTAAAGTTGTTGCAGGTGAAGAAATCGCTAAATTGTTGACCTAGTCTTAGAAAATTCATGTAGAAATTTCGCTCTAACATCTTGCTGCTTGATATTTTGTTTATAGTTCTAACAAGTTTCTTTAATCCTTTGTTTGACAGGCCGTATTTAATTGCACATTTACAAGGACTACAGTGGTCAATTTCGGAGCACTTAGTGGTGTCTGGGCACTACTTTGACTTAAAACCAAAGCATACATATTTTATAGTTACAATAAACTTTGTTTAGTAAGTTTGTATAAAACTTTCAAATTATTCGTTTTTAAAGAAATTAGAAACTTGTCAAAAATATACTTCTTGAAATCTATCAAGTGTTATTTCTTAATATTTTTTATTTCAATATATATGTTAAAATTATTTAAGAATAAATATTTACCAGGGGTAACAGTAAGTGGAGGCCCGCCGAATGCTTTAGCCAGTAGATTAGTTCCTTCCGGAGATATTTCTTTATTGGAATTAATTCGGAATGCGACTTGTTCGGATGATTTGGCATCTTTTTGCAAGCACACAAACTTTCGATTTTCATCATGATTCTTTGCTTGATTTGCCATTGTGGCAATTCACTAAATTTGACTTCTTTAAATCAAAATTTATATTTGATAACAATCCACTTAACATAGTAAAACATATTATTAATTAAAAATTATTAAAATAAAAGAAATATTTACTTGATTTAATTGAGGTAATATTAAATTACAAGGAAATAATTCTTGAATAGTTCTTTCCTTACCAGGAAACAATTGTTTAAACTATTTACTTGTAAGGAAATTACATTATTGATAATTGTCACACTTATTAAACTAGTGATACTTGTCACACGGGTTGTTTTGTTTCAAAACAACCCTTCAACCTAATTCGTTATTCAGTTAGAGTAATTTTCCTCCGACTGGCCCTCCAAACTTTTTATTGGTCAAATATCTTAGTTAACTTATCTAAATTTTTTAAGTTAATTATCTTTGTCAATATAAAAAATATTTGGTTTTTTCACAGTTGTTCTGTTTTCAGATAAATGAATATTTTTATTTTCTATGTAGGTATCCCTAGAAATCCTTCTTAACCACTTTTTTAGAATTTTTTTACATTTTGGCAATAGTTTATACCTTAGGAAATGTTAGTATATTCACTCTATGCATACATGGCCGTCAAAGGAGCCATGGCTTGCCCACATTTTTTTTGCGAGGACCTTTTGTTTTAGAAATATAGGCAATTATTTTAGAAATTATGGATTTTATTTTAGAAATTGAGGGGTTGACCCCCTCCACTTTAAAGGCCGTGTTGACGCTATTAGCATAAGGCTATTTAAATCACGCTTTAAGTTGAAAATCACTATTTTGGTCTACAAAATGAAAACTTTACATGTGCCGATAAAATAATTGTAACAAAAATTGTTGGTATTACATAGAAGAACACTAATGTAACTGTTATTTTAAAAATAGTGACCGAACTTCAAAGTAATCGGTAACGCTTTGAGGTATAAGTAGCAAAAAACTGACAAAACTTCAACTAAAACTGCAATAAATCCTACACCAGTCATCTAATCAGGCTGAAATTTTGTCCAGAATTCGGTGTGAGTATTGGCTGCATTTGCGCTAATTTTTATTAAATTATATTGAGTGGTTCAAATTTTACAAATGTTTTATTGACACACTATGAAGTCAAAATTTGACTTAATTTAAACATTCAAATTAAATTATTTTCCGCGAATAAAATTAAATGATTTCAAAATTTGCATCACAGATTGATGTGCAGGCTAACTTTCCGTATAAGTGACGTTCTTAAAACAGCTAGCTAATTTTTATTAAATTATATTGAGTGGTTCAAATTTTACAAATGTTTTATTGACACACTATGAAGTCAAAATTTGACTTAATTTAAACATTCAAATTAAATTATTTTCCGCGAATAAAATTAAATGATTTCAAAATTTGCATCACAGATTGATGTGCAGGCTAACTTTCCGTATAAGTGACGTTCTTAAAACAGCTAGGTATACATTATAAGGATCCGTGCTAACCGTGGAAGAGTTTGCTAAACAAAAGACAAGAAAAATAAACATTGTAAAAAACAAAAGCTGGGCTATTTAATTGTACAATGGACGTATAAGAGAAATCTTATACCATGGACGAATAAGATTTCTCTTATACGTCCATGGTATAAGATTTCCATGATTGTACTTATATATCATTAATATAATCAAAAAATGTAAGCAGGGTTATTTTTTTGAGAGTAAGCCCCCAAACTGAAGAATGCTCGGGGGCCCCCAAATTCTGTGCACGGCCCTGCTTGAAATATGATAATAATAATAATAATGATAATAATAAGAATAATAATATTTAATTAAAGGGGTTTTTTCTTTTCTACCCTATTCGTGGGCAGCCGCTAACAAAATATTTTACAAGGCTGAAAATTTACCTTTGTTTGGACGTTATTAGTTTTGTTTATTTTCTTATGTAGTGGCAGGCATGTTTGGTTTCACCCGTTTGTGGATTTGGTTTCGAATATTTGGTATATTAATCAAGAGAAGAAGACAAACTTTAAGTTGGTATGTTTACTTATATTGTAATTTTTTTTCTTTTGGAAAAGTTCGAGTTCTAGATCCATATAAGTAAACTATCTTAAATTATCTTAGACGCGTATCTAAATGATAAAAGTATCTTAGAAAATATCAAATGGTGCTAATATCTTTGACACTAATTATCTTATTTAATTAAAAAACATTGTATGATGAACTTTGTGAAAAGTAAAAAAATGGTAAAAATATCAACTTAAAAAAAAAAGGTAGCTCAAGGTGAAATAATTTACTTTAAAGTAATTATTGTTCAAAACTTTAAAGTTAAAACTTCAATTATTAGTTCACCAAAATTGGCAAGTTAATCAATAAAGTGTTGCACTTTAGTGATTAACTTGAATCCAAGCAAATACTATTAGCTTTTTATAAACACCTTATTTATTAGTAATAAAGATATTACACACCATACCATGGCATAATATACAACATAATATATAAAGAAAGAAATGAACTGTTTCCTTAATTTAAAATTTAGTTTTTTAAAAGTAGAACTTGTTTTCAATAAATTTAAAAATTTTCTCATTAACATTTTTATAAAAATGTCTTTCAATATTTCATTACTGCTTCTACTACTACAAATAACTCCTTTTTGGGGTCGATGAAAACTATTTTTATAGATTACTATTTTTACGTTGTCGAAAAGAAATTGTTTTTTTCCACTGCACACCTTATTCTAAGTGGATTGTATAACAAGGTCTATTAAATGAAATTGTAAATTTAAAACAGTGGTTGTAAGAATGCACACAAAGGCAAAAAAAGTTGGTAGAAGCTATAGCTTTATGCAAAGATAACGTTGTAAGTGGACAGCGTCCCTATAAATTATTTTCTAAATCTTTAATCAGAGACAATGAATTGTCCATATCATAAAATTACCGAACACATATAAAGTAAGGCCATTGAAAAAAGAACCAGCAGTTGTCTTTAATCAAAAATAATAATGCTGCTTTTAAATAACTTATATAGCTTACAAGTTATGTACTTGTTAATCAGTTTCCTTAACCTATCTCTTTCCCTAAAATAAAATAAATGGCTGACCACAATAATAAATGTTCTTTTACTAATGTCATTATTTTTTTTACTTCCAACAAAGTTAACATGAGTTTAGTTATGAGCTTACATAAAAGTTTATAGATTTTTATGAAATTTAAAATTTACATTACAGTTTAATAATACTTATTTTAAAAATTAATTAAAAGTGTTTTGTTACTTTGTTGAAAAACGTTTCGATAATATAAAAGCATTCAAGAACAAACTTATTTAATTGTAACGGCTTTCTAAAACATTTGTCTTTTTTTTTTTTTTAGCTAAGTTTTGTTTATCTTTTTAAATGTGTTAACTTTAATTGTTCCTATATTAAAGTTCGTTAAAGAGAGTTTCGTTGTCGCAGAATGTCATCATTTATAAAAACAAAACAATTTTTTATTTTTTAATAATGTTTATTATAGAAATGCACACTTAAACAGTTTATATATTATAAATTAAAATGTCCATGGGGCTTATTTTCTCATAAAAAATTTTTTTTATGAGAAAATAAGCTGACAAGGCTTTATTTTTTTATTTTTAACAAAGTAAAGATAACTTTGAAAATTTGTCTTGGTTTATACTTACTTTTTTTGGTTATACTTACTCCATTACTTAGGTTTTTATTCATTATATATGATCTTTCTTAAAATGTCTTAAGAAAGTTCATATGTTTATAAGAATTTTATAAAAAAAACATTCTGTCAAAAAAAAGTTTATCACCTTTTAAAATTATTCTTTCAATTAATATTTGTTAATTCTAAATGTTAATTGAACACCGGTTAAAAACTTTTGTTATCCCTAACAGTTTTCTATAGTCCCTTAAAATTAGGGGTGTCTTGGATAACATTTTTTAATTATCTGGTCGGATATCAGATACCCGAATATTTAACAATTATTCGGCCGGATATCCGGCTGGATACAGATAATGTAATTTTAAGACTAAAGTTACCGTAATAACCTTTCAAAATGGCGAGTTTTGTTTGGAAACTTTTTAAAATCAGTGATAGCTGTGATTCCATAGCTATTTGCATTCCATGTGGAAAGCAGATAAGCAGGGGGTGTAGTAATTCTGGTCAGCAGTCATTTTCTACAACTCCACTGCATCATCATGCAAAAAAATTTCATTGCAAATTGTATGAAGAGGAAAAAAAAAAATAAAATGGAATGTTCTTTAGCTGCTCAAGGAAGTTCAAAATGTAGCTCATTGATTTCAAAGAAGAAGTGCAAAATGCAAAAACAGATGTCTGTTGAAGATAGTTTGACATCAAAGAAGATATGGGATATTAATGATGAAAAGTCTAAGCAAATTCATAGAAAAATTGCTATTATGATTGCTTTAGATAATCAACCATTTAGTATAACGGAGGATGATGGATTTATTGGTTTAATGGCTTTTTTACAACCAAGATACCTAATCCCAAGTAGGAATTTTTTTTCGGAGACAGCAATTCCGCAATTGTATGATCAAATTAAAAAAAAGGTTTTTAATGAAATTGCGAAGTCACAGTACAAAAGTTTTACTTCAGATATTTGGATTTGTCCGGCGTCTCATGAAACATTCATTTCCTTATCAGGACATTGGATTAAAAAAAATTTTGAGTGCAAAGATGCTGTACTCTATGCTTTACATTTTCCAGAAGCTCACACAGGGATAAACATAGCTGGAGAATTTATAAACATGTTAGAAAACTAGGAAATTAATGCACCAAGAAGACATATTTTAGTCAAAGATGGTGCTGCTAATATGTTATAGGCAGTAAACTTATTCAAATATTCAGTTCATTGCACAATTCACTTATTGCAGCTCGTGATTAAGGATGCAGTTTTATCCCAAATATTAGTGATAGATTTATTAACTAAAGCACGTTGAATAGTAGGCCACTTTAATCATTCATCAAAGGCATGTACAGAATTTAAGTTACTGCAACAACAAAATGAAAACACACCTCTACTTTTGGTTCAAGATGTGCCTACTCGCTGGAATAGTGCGTACTTAATGTTAGAGCGACTTTAAAAACTTAAAAAAGAGCAGTTCAAATGTATTTAGTATCATAATGAGTTGCCAACATTTGCATCAAATAATTGGAAAATCATTGAAAATTTATTATATGTTTTTAAGCCTTTTTATGAACTTACTAATGTTATGAGTTCTGAACTTTGTAGTTTATCAACAGTAGTTCCAAATATATGTACTTTACAAAGATTTTTATCAAAAATTGATCGAAAAGATGATGCAGTTCAAATAAATAAACAACTTATAAAATCTTTAAATAAGAGATTCTTTTCTCATGATAATCTCAATATAACAAATGATGAAAGATATGTTTTACCCACCATTATTGATCCTCGCTACAAGCTCAAATTTCTTCTTGTTGATAATAGAGAACAAGCAAGATGAATGCTATTAGATGCTGTAGTAGCTGGATTTTCATCAGTTGTTATTAATAGAGTTACCAGCTCCATCACCACCATTTCCAATCATTTAATGCCAAAATCCAAAAAAAAAAAAGTTGATATGGAAGAAAATGACTTAAACTCCTGCTTTTTAGAACTTGAAGAATATGAAGGAGATTTAGGTAAGAAAATCTCTTTCTGTTTATTAAAAAAGTTTTTAATAATTTTAAAAAGTTTTTTGATAAACAAAAACTTTTTATTAAGTTTTTTTTTTTAATATTAGCTATATTCTGCATGTTGCTGGTTTGCTGATTTAAGTTTTATATACATTTTATTGAATAAAAATATATAAATAAATCATCATTAGTATTTAAATTGTTTTATATTACTGAACAAAATGGTAAAATAAACCCTGATCAAGTCTCTCTTGTAAAAGCTGCCCAAGAAGTTGATTTTTTTTTTTAGTCACTCGATTATAGAAAAAAAAAAAAGGCATTTTTAATTATTGGAAATACGAAGAGAAGTTTCCACTTCTAAAAGAGTTACCTCTTAAATTATTAGCACCTCCAGCATCCTCTGTATTTTCGGAGCAATTGTTTTCCGAATATAGAAATATTTACGAGAAAAAGCGATCAAGACTATTACCTCAACGTGGAGAAATGTTACTATTTATTCATCATAATGGAAATAAATTTATAAATGAGTGATAGACTGATGTATTTGTTGCGTTTAATTTTAAAAGTATTTGAATAATAAATTATTATTAGTATAAAAATATAACATTTTTTGGTTTATTAAATCTTTAAATTTCTAAATAACTTTAACTTGAAATATCCGTTTTATCAAAAACCGGATAATGTTATTATCTGGCCAGATAACAGATATAGAATAATACTGATATTCGTCCCGGATATTCCGCTGGATATCTTATCCGGGACACCCCTACTTAAAATCAAAAACAATTGTTTTACAAAATCAAACATTCGTTTAGTTGAAACGTTTTCCTTGGTCCCTTGGAGGTTTGAGTTAAAAGGAATTTACTATACTCACTTAATGGAACAAGTATAAACCAAAAAACTTTTTGAAGGCAATATTTTCAATATCTTTACTTGTGGGGCATGGCCAATATTTTCTAAAAGTAAAATGATTAAATTTGTTACAGGTTCTTCTTGGATCTAGAGACTGAAATTTTCAAAGAATTCTTATTTTTTTTAAGTACTCTCAACTGTATAAAAATCAAAAAAATCTGATATATGGTGACAAGGCTTGGGTCCATTGACATGTTAATTTATACACATAACAGCTCTTTTAATTGCAATATTGATGATCTATAGATTTGTAGTTATGTTTTAGGAAGCTACAATATCTAAGTTTCAGCATATTATTTTAAAATTGCTAACAAAAACCCCACAATATGTATGCGCATAGTTTAAGTGATAAGTGGCTATAGCTACCTTATAGCAATAGAGTTGTCGTTATGTAGTAGCTAGCAACAAAGTTAAGATGTATAGCTATAGATATATTGTAACAACATGGCTAACTAAAAAGCTAAGATA